ATGTCCAGACCCTACCTCAGAAACAAACAGTTGCAGTCTCACTTCACAGAGATTTTTGAGCCTGCTGCTGTGCTAGTCCCTGGTCATGTTTAGGGCCTTCAAGGAGTCTGCCAGCTAGCAGGACAGGCAGCCAGGTCAAAGATAATCCAGTCCAGTGGTAAGCAGTGCTGTGAGTGGCACGTCTGCAGGCTTGGGGAGTTTTAGGGAGATGGGCTTCCCCAGCCTGAGGATTGGGATGGGGGAAGCATTCCTGAAGGAACTGAAACTTGGACTGCATCTTTCTGAATGACATGGTTAGGATGGAGTCCAGTAATCGCAGAGTAGAGAGGGGCTTCAGGAATAATTTGTCTTTATACATTGGAAGGAAGCACTCATCCTCAGTGTCAGAAGCACAGAAGTACATGGTTCAGCTAGTGGGGGTTGAACAGGATCCACAGGCGACACTGATGCAGATGTGCACCAAACCTCCTCATTTTACTGCATTTAAAGTAAGCCTCATCTCCTTATGCCCTTGCCTCAGGAACCCTTCAAAGGCTGGCTTTGCTGGGCAGGCAGCTCTGGTCTGATCTGTAGGGTTCCACAGTGCAGGCTAGTCAGTAGCACACCAGAATTTTGGGGTCTTCCCTCAAGACTTGAATGACACGCCGCACCTAGGAATGTGTAACCTGGCTTTGAGAAGGGCTGCCTCTGCTGGATGAAGCAACCAGAAATGCCATGGAGTTGAAATTTGACTGAAGGCACTAGGCAGCAGGAAGGAGCTGGGTGGATGCGCCCCTCTGTGCTCCCCACAGACTGTTCTGCAGTGTGCTTTCTCCATTTCTTGTGTCTGGAGATGGCCCGCCCGCCCAGCCCAATGCACCGCCTGCCTCGCCTTGCTGGGTGGCCCCCGGCTCATCAGGAAGCCAGTAGGTGCTTCTCATGCCTCCCTGTCCCACTCGTTTTTATACTTATTTATCCTGTGTGCTTTTAAGGAACTCAGGATAAAACATTCTTTGTGTATATTTTTTAGAAGAAAAACGTCTGTTACATTAAGTCAAATACACTTGTATTTAGAAAGCTTCTTTAATCCAAGTCTATCATAATGAAATGAGTCACAGAAGAAAGCAAATCCACTCTTACTATAAGGGCTAATAATGCAGAACCAAGAGTTTTCTACAGAACACAAGTTAGCTTTTACTTGGTATTTTTGATGAGTACTTGCCAAATTTTCCAGTTCACAGTCTGCTTTATGGGAGTAAAAAGGATTCCTGAGCTCTTTCTCTTCTCCCACCTGCCCACAAGTCCCTCCCTAATTCCCCATTACTCAGAGGTAACTGATGTTTTGGGCAGGTGGAGACTGTCAAATTTGTTTACCTGCTGTTGTGGCTGATCCTGGGTTCACCAGCAGTGAGGGAGACAGAGACAAAGGTGGCCACATGTTTGTAAGTCTGATCAGTATGTTTCTAGCATGAGTTTCTCAGACTAAGCACCCTTCTCTTATTTTTCTTTTTTTGAGTAGGAATTTTACTCAAAAGATTTATTCTAGAAATCTGAACCATGTTTTTTTGTGACATAGGAGATGTACAGTGTCATTTGTTATATCTGAACCAATTCACTGGATTAAGTATAGGTAAATAAGAAAGGAAGAAAATGAAGGAAGGAAGAGAGGAAAGAAAGGAAAGGAAGCTCTCTCTCCTTTTTTACAATTGCCCTCTTTCCCAGAGAAAGATCAGTTTGGTTAGAGTCACGCTGCTCAGACCAATCTGTTCTTTGGTTACCTTTGTTATTGAAGCTATTGCAGGTATCTATAAATTTTAGCTAATTCACAGATATACATATGCATCTGAAAAATAATGTAATAATCCTCATTTCTCAAGTCATGTGTGTATACTGTCATTTTTTATTTTGAAATATCCAGCCTCAGATTTCTAGGATTGGTGTTTTGCTTTGTTCTTTTTTATTCACGAGGAGTGGGTTTGCGGAAGGAGAAGGAGTAAGACTAAGAAAACGATTTTCCTCCTAAAACGTCCTTAGTTTGAACTTTGAATTTTTTGAATTCTCTGTACAGTTCAGTGAATTTAAGAATTTAAATTAATTTTAAATACAGTTTTTAGTAGATTATTACACTGGCTTATCTGGGTTACCTTTTCTTAATGTTGAATGTATTGTTACAGAAATATGTCTGTATTCATCCAGGCTGTTTTAGATACCATCTCAGCTATCTTTTTAAATTGCAACATGTGTGTTTCAGCACAGAAAACAAAAGTATTTACATTCGCTTTTACTTATCGTTCCAGAATTAACTCTTGGAAGTCTGACAGGTGATTGGAGTGCTTTGCAAGCTTTGTTTTAAGGCTGTTGCACTGGGGGATGCCGTTTCCATCCCTGCCACTAAGGTGGTATTGTTTCATTGAGACAGGCGTCATGTAGATATACTTCCAATTTTGGAACTTTGTATTTTCTTTTACAAGGCACTGAAGAGGATTCCTATTGAGCTTTTCAAAATGCTTTGCTAATTCGCTGACTCTGAGGAGGCAAATTGAATGACCAAGACAGTGTTACCCAGTGTTGCATAGATTGGCAGAAAAGAAAGGGAATAGCTGCATAGAGTCCTGGGGATAACTGTCCAGGACCCCAACAAAGTAACACTGAAGTTTAGTCCTTCCTGTTGTTAATATAATATATGTAAAATAAGAAATTTGAGAAATGTGGAAAAGGTGAACGGAGGAGAAAATACAATCTCATCAGCCAGAGATAATTTATCATTGCTAATATCTGATGTATTTCATAGGTACATTCTTTTAAAAATTTGGTTGATTTATTTTACACAGTTGTGAACATACTATGTGTGTGTGTGTTCTATTGAGTATTAGATTTTTTACCCAGTTATCATTATAACCCAAGCATTCTTCTTCTTTTTTTTTTTTTTTAAAAAAAAGATGACCGGTAAGGGTATCTTAACCCTTGACTTGGTGTTGTCAGCACCACGCTCAGCCAGTGAGTGAACCAGCCATCCCTATATGGGATCCGAACCCGGGGCCTTGGTGTTATCAGCACTGCACTCTCCCGAGTGAGCCACAGGCCGGCCCAGCCAAGCATTCTTCTAAGCCATTGTAAATGCTTCATAAGCATGTATTTTAATGTCTGTACTGTGGCTATGCCATGATTTATCTAATTACTTTCCTATTATTAGCTCTTAGGTTGTTTTCTAATTGAGACTATTATAGTTACATTATGATAAAGTCTTTTTTAATAGAGATTTTTATTGAAAGATAACATACATAATTCATCTATGTGTACATGTATATAAGTGTACAGCATTTTGAATTTTTAACAAGTTAACATACCACTGAAACCACTACCTATATCAATAAATTATCATTAAGTGAACACAGATGTTTCAGGTCAAGAAATAGAACTTTACAAAGTCCCCTAAATGCACCCACCATTTTCTGCCCTCATCTCTGTTTCTTCCCTCTTCCTCGAACGTAATTATTAACCTGACCTCTAATGCCATAAATCAATTTTTGCTTTAAAGGTCTATAGTTTAATTTTCTTTAGATTTCAAAGGTAGTTACAAGATAAAGAGGTTTGAATATTTTAAATTGTCTTAGTGCATGTAATCAAATTACTTTCAAAAATGTCATGGTATTTTACTGCTACCTTGTATAAAAATGTGGGAAGGATTTTTGTTCCCGAGTACAGGGAGAAAAATCAGGGTCAAGTGTAAAGAGATTAAGTTCAGGACAGTGAATAGGACCAAATGGGACCCCAATTTCTTTAGAGAAATCTCAGCAGTCTGTTTCCAAATTCTGTTTTACTCACTTTGAACATGTTCTTTTTCTGGACATTCCCAGTCATCGTGGCAGTGACAAAGGAGAGCCTGGTGAAGCACACACTGGCTCTTAAGACTTCTGGATACAAGTGGCACACAAACTTCTGCCCACACTCATGGCCGGAGAAAGGCACATGAGTTCAGTAGAGCCAGGAGTGTGTAATCCTCCCACAGTGAGAGGACTCCAGGAAGGGAACTGGAATATATGGCAAACTGTCACACTGTCAACCATGCTTTCTACCTGATGACTTTGCCAGATCTGATCACTGAGGAGATCAGATCATTTAGATTGCTCATCTTTTACTTTACTATAGAAGCACTTCCTGGCCTTGGAGGGACCTGTGTCTTCATATAGGCCTATAGCATCTGTAATTATCAATCAGGCAGTTGCTTAGTGCTGAGCTTTTTGGAGTGTGCGCACTTCTCTTCCAGGAACAGGCCCAGAAACATGCTTGCTCATGAAGAGATGATGGGGAAATACTAATTCAGTTTATTAGGTACTTTTGGTGGACAGAAATTCCTCATCAGGAAATAAGTTTTTGTAGCTAGTTCACATGTTCTGCTTATGGGCCCTGGGAAAGCATTAAGTAAACATTCTTCGTTAAGTAAACATTCTTCAAGACTACGAGTAATGACACTTAAAGAACTGTAAAGGATTTCTCCCTAGCACAGCAAGAGAACTAGCATGGCTTGCTCACCGAGAGGCTTGCTGTAGGTTGTCAGCAATGCCTTTGCTCACTTTGATTAAGTAAACATTCTTCAAGACTACGAGTAATGACACTTAAAGAACTGTAAAGGATTTCTCCCTAGCACAGCAAGAGAAGTAGCATGGCTTGCTCACCGAGAGGCTTGCTGTAGGTTGTCAGCAATGCCTTTGCTCACTTTGAAAATGTTCTTCTTTACCTGGCCATTACCAGTCATTTTGGTTAACATCCTTTTCCACTGTGAATTTGCGTTCTTTTTTATTGCCATTCTTCTCTATAGCAGGTATTTTGCAGTATTAATTGATAGTATCAAGAGTTGCTTCTCATTTCTCTTTCTCTTTATGCCTTTATCAAGACACAAAAGTTTTCAGTCAGGACACTTTCTTGCTCAGTTAGAGAAATAGTTGCACGGTGATGAGGGTAGCACAGTTGTATTAGGTGAGCTCAGATTTAACGTGGTGTCTCTCCTTTATTCCCCAAAGGTCTCTTCTTTCTAGGGATGGTGAAGTTGGGGAAAGGCTCCCTTAACCCTCCTCCAGGATGAACCACCTCCCAGAAGACATGCAGAACACCCTTACTGGGAGCCAGAGCTCCCACACCTCTGTGCGTGACGTCCACTCCATCAACCCCACACAGCTCATGGCCAGGGTTGAGTCCTACGAAGGAAGGGAAAAGAAAGGCATATCTGACGTCAGGAGGACTTTCTGCTTGTTTGTCACCTTTGACCTCTTATTTGTAACATTACTCTGGATAATAGAATTAAATGTAAGTTCTTTATTTTTTTTCATGACTTTATAAGAAATGTTTTCAGAGATAAAAAACAATTTTCTTATTTTTCTCTTAATTTCTTTCTTATTTAGTGATTTCCATCTTTTTCTGAATGAGGCAACATTGCTTTTTTACAGATGATCTGGACCTTTCTTTTAATGTTATTGCTTAGAACAAACCTGGTAAATTTAAAACTCTTAGATTTTGAAATTTGAATTCCTGGTATTTTGCTCTATGACAGGAGTTGATAGACTGACTACACATTGTGGGACAAATTCAGCTGGCCTGTTTTAATGAATAAAGTTTTATTGGAACACAGCCCTCCCATCTGTTTACATGTTGGGTGTGGCCGGCTTTTGAGCTGAGTGTTAAGTAGTTGTGTCCGAGCTCTCTGCCCAACAAAGGCAAAAATACTTATTCCCTGCCCTTTTCAGAAAAAGTTGGGCAGTTCTTGCTCCAGAAAATGTAGAATGCTTCAGGAATATGTTTTAGATATTGTATCTACTTTTCTAATTCCCATGTTTAAAATTTTGTATTTGTTTTTCCTTCACTTTTTTGCAAAGAGGTTATTTATTCCTATTTTATCAGAAAGGTTGTTTTAGAGGCATTTGGAGGTTTATGCAGTTATATTGCCAAATAATTGTCTAGACTTGTACTGTTCAGTAGACATATAACGCAAAATTTGAAATAGGTAATTTAAAATTTTCTAGTTGCCACATTAGTCATTAGTGAAAGTAAAAGTAAAAAGGTGATATTCATTTTAATACTATATTATTTAACACAATGACCTGTTTTCTCACAAAGCCTTGGGTCTGATTGTTTATATTCCTTACCAAGAGATAGGTGAACTCTTCCAGAAGACTTTCCTCACAGGCAAAAGTTGTCTGCTTCCTTCATTTTCAGCAGTTTACTTATTTCCAGGAAATATTTGCTAAGACCTAGGTAGTACTGATTATTACCTATTGTTTATTATTAAGAAGTTACTCTTTGCTAGGCACAGTGCAAGGTGCCTTATAAGAAATTAAGTAGAGAAAATATGAAAATATGCTGAGATTCCTGTCTGAAAAGTTATTTTTGAATCTTTTAACAGAAAGAGTTAACATCTTTTTTTTTTTAAAGAAAAGACCGGTAAGGGGATCTTAACCTTTGTCTTGTTGTTGTCAGCACCACACTCAGCCAGTGAGCGACCCAGCCGTCCCTATATGGAATCCGAACCCATGGCCTTGGTATTATCAGCACCACACTCTCCCGAGTGAGCCAGAGGCTGGCCCAAAGAGTTAACATCTTAATCTAAATTTTGATTAATGTTATGATTCATAAAAGCAGTTTCAGGTCTAGACTCTAGTCTCTTAGTATTAGGATCATTGAATCTAATTGAATTTCATCACAAATCCTGATAGAGGAACAAAACTCATTATGAAAGCAGACACTCATACTAGAAAATAAGATTTGTCCTAGAATCACAGTGATATGTAACATGAATCTACTGTTATGTTTCTGTTTACAGGTTTTATTTCTGTTAATTTAGCACTGTGGGTATGCCTTAGTTTTGTTTAAAACCAAAGAGGCCAGTGATACAGAATGTCTCTTTTTACTGTTTGTTCCATATGTGCACATTAAGGAAGACATTTAAGCTCAGTATATTTTAAAGGATTAATATGTTTTCACAACTGACAGCTGTATGATGAGAGACGAAAAAGAAACGCTATGTTTTGATAGGAAGCACAGCAGCAGTTTTAAGGGGATGCACTTAAACATTACTTGAATGTCAGCACAAAGTCGAGGTATTCACTGCTTTGCCGCCAGTGTCACCGCATGCCCTTCAGTGAGGGAGGTCATGGTGCAAGGCTTTGGTGGGAGTTCACGGGATCACACTTGTCACTGCCCTCCTTCCCTCCTCCTTCAGAGAAGTGGAAATGAAGTGGACTGCCCCACTTCTTGTCCCCAGAAGGGACATGCGAACATTTGCATGCAGCATGTTATAGACAAAAAGTCACCAGGCCTACCGATTTAGAAATGTGTTTTTATCTTCACCTTTTCACTATCAGTTCCCCCAATTGAAAAGTTAAAAGATCTTTAAGATAGTGTATCATGACTTTTTTTAGTAAGGTGATTTTTTTTTTTCCAGCATCCAGTTTCTAGTTCTATTTTTTCTGAATTGTCATTCCTGACCTGGGTTTTTTACTACACAGTACCACTTGTTTTCTTTGTTGTCTCTCTGTAAATCTCTAATCACTCAGATTCATTGTGTGTATTTTTGGTTTGTTTGTTTTTCCTCATGTCTGTACCTTTACTGAGTGCCATGGCACAGGTTTCTGATTCAGGTGTTGCAAGCTCCACAAAAAAACCTATATGAGCTTTAAAGTTCAGCTGAGGGGACATGGCACATGTCTTATACTGCCTAGTAATGCCAGTCTTTAACAGAAGAAAGAAAATGTCATAAAGGTGCTTAGGCCTTTAGAAGAGTATGAGGGCCAGGGTGTTCTGTGCAGTCATAACAATAACCACAATAGTGCACCTTCCCATGTGGCTTCCAATTTAGCTGCTTTCCTCCTTGCTTCTGGGAGCTGACTGCCACCATCAGGGCCTGACTGAGCCTAGAGAAGCCCAGCACCACCGTGGTTCATTTTCTTTCTAGAAGATCCTTGGACAGCTTATCTCTTTTGGGTCATTTGAAGGCATGGTTTTGATTCTGTCTAGGGCCTCGCTAGGTCTACTTTTAAGTGGACTGATTTCCCAGATTGGATCTGGAATTAACCATGTCTTGGGTTCCCTGAGGACTCTATTCCCTTTCCAGACTCTTCTCCCCCAGACTCTTCTCACTGATATGAACAGGGATCAAAGTGTCAGGAGAAGAGAAGTTGTTTTTCGTTTTAGCTTTGGATACTTTGGACCTCTGGTTGAAAAGAGGCCTTTGCCAATGCTTATTGCCTTTTTTCTTTTTATTCTCTAACTGGTTTATAGGAAGTGTCAGAGCTCTTCTAATTGGACCTAGAGCTGTTAGAACCAGCTCTGTGGCCTTAGGCAGGCCATTCAGTTTTCTGGGCCTTGGTTCTTAGTCATTTCACTGAACTGATACCTTTCTTGCCTTCCTCTTAGGTTCATGTAAAGGATCGAGTGGAAAGATGTACACAGCAGCCCCTTGGCAGTTATAAAGCTCCACACACGCATAGGTTATATAACTTATTATTAACTAAAATAAATTTAACCCAGAGAGAAAAAAATGTCGATTACTATTCTCTCGCTGTTGTTACATTTTAGTTTCAGATACTTATTACCCCACCGATTCAGTTCTGATTCTATTACCCCACTGCCACTATGTTCTGTAGTTCAGCTGTGATGACCAGGGGCAACAGAAGTTCAGAAGGAGGACCTGTGGGTTGGGATCATCTGAGCGAGTAAGTGGAGGAGAAGGACTGTGGCGTGGGTTTGGAAGACTGTGTGGCTCTCGGGTGGGTTGGGTTTGGGAGCAGTGGGGAGAGGGTTTGGAGACCAAGGTGGGCAAAAGCACCGAGGCAGGAGTGTGTGCTTGTGCGTGGGGCGTGCATGTGTTGGAGGGACAGTGACAGAAGCAAAGAAAATACCAGCCTGGCCAGAAAGTAAAGTGCCCCTAGGAAATAAAATTGCATAGGTAGGCTGGTGCCAGATTATTGCAGCTCTGAAAAGCTGTATAGAAGTGTTTGGACTTAGGTTCTAGAGCGGATTGGAAAATAAGGTTTTGAGATCTTCCAGAAGTCAGTGATGCACAGTCTGCATCATGGCCTACCTGGCATGCCCAGTCAGATGTCATATGTAACATGCTCCCCAAACACACACATACACACACACCTATACCCCCCCACCCACACACACAACGCCACACGCATAACCACACACCCCCATACCCACATCCCACACCCACACACCCCCATACCCACCTCTACCCCCACACACCCCACCCACCTTCCCACCCACACCCACACCCCTCCCACACACTCCCACCCCACCCGTGCACATGGACCTGCTTTTCCAAACCTTCTCCTCATCAGATGCTCAGGCCAAAAATACTCATCCTTGATTGATTTGCTTGTTTAAATGTTTTGCATTTTCCATGCCCCATATCTCCTCTAAAAGTAAGTCCTGTCAAATCTACTTCTGAAATACATCTAAAATGTGACCACTTCTCTTCATTTCTGCTGTTACCACCCTCCACCACGTTGGCGTTGTCACTCGTCCACGTTCCCAACTGGTTTCCGGCTTCCAGTCTTGCACATCTGTGATCCCATTCTCCTCAGAGGAGCTGGAGTAACCTGTAAAAAACATAAGTCAGATAATGTCACTGTCTTTTTAAACCCTTCCTGGCTTGCTGGATCAGTAGAGTAGAACCCATATGACAAAACTTGCCTTGCAAAGCACCCTGGGAGCCTCTCCAGACGTTCCCTCCACCCTCTGTACCTGGCCCAGCACAGATCAGCTGCACTCGCCACCACCTCCTGTTCTCAGACTTGGACAAGCTTCTCTCTGTCTGGGGACTTTTGTGCTAGGTGTTCCATCTGAATGAGTGATCAATTTTCTTTATCTTTCTGTACATTCCAACTTCTTATCATGCTGGTATCTGCTTAAATGTCACCACTATTCTGTCACGCTGTCCTGCCTCTGTTCTCTGTGTAGCACTTATTTTCCTGTCTGTTGTCCCTCTTGCCTTGCGAGAATATAAGCCCCATGATGACAGATTACTTTGTTTGCTGAAGTATTTTCTGTGTTTAGAACAGTGCCTGGTACTTAACAGGTACTCAGCGAAGTTGAGGCTACTTCAAAAAGTTCTTGGAAAATAGAATTAAAGACAATCTGAGTCTTTCCATGAACTTTTTGAAGACCCCTCATATTTGGTGAATGGATAAAGGCATGGAGACACACTGGCAGTGAGTACGCTCACAGAGGCTGTGGAAGGAATGCCACATAAGCTGGCGGGGGTAGGAGGGAAGAGCTACCCTGAGAGACACACAGAAGGAGAAGATAGCAGAAGACTTGTTGATAGACTGATGTCTTCATCCCCAGCATCCAAAGATGACTCTGAGGTTTCTAATAAGGTAATGCTCCTAGAAGAGCAGTACTAGAAAGAACTGTGACTAGGAATAAAGATAGTTAGTGTACTTAAGATATCTTGAGCTAGATACAAAGATTTCGAAATAGGATTTAGAGAACAAGTTAGGGCTAGAGGTATAAATTTTAAATGTCCTTATTTAAAGGCAACACAAAATCAGGGTCTTTTAAAGTGTACCAGAAACCAGAGAAAAGCTTTTTTTTACTGACAATTAGACCTGTATTGGCAGCTTTGATTCCTTTTCTCTCAGGAATAGAAGGGAGGAGTCTCTGTTTGGTAGAGAACCCCTTTTTGCTGCAGGCCTCTTGGAATAATCATTCTTTTAATATTCTGAGTATTAGTAAATTTGCTTATTCCGAAGAGACACAGCAATGAGACTAGATTGTTGGTGGACTTTTAATGATTATTTTTCCTTGCTCCCAGGTTTTCAATTCTGTTCATTTGTAAAGTTGTAAAATCAAGGAGGTCTACAGCCAATCTGTGTTAGTTACGGAGAAATACAAACCTCCTTAAGGGATTTTTAAGACACAGAATAGTGTTTTTGATATGCTTTCATTTGCATAACAAATACAAATCCATCAAAGGGTATCTAAACCAAGATCACTTTTTCCTTGTGGTGATTTTTATTCTAATTTGACCAATTAGCAAAAGTTAATTCTTTATTAATTTTTTTCCCTCTTACCTAGTTCTCTGGTTAATTGCCCTTCATTTTTTCCTTTTTCAGATTGTCTGCATTTGTCTGCCAGGACTGTGCTCCAAACTGGGGACGTGAATTTACTGTTGCACGTCACGTTTCCTCTGCTCCGGCTGGTCCACAGCCCGGATGGTTGCAGAGTGCCTGGCTGGGTGCTGCATTACCTGCCCCACCTGTGCCCCTGATTGATTTTGTTTAAAAGATATTATTCTCCATAATTTAATTTGTAGAAATTTGAAATTGATAATTCATTTTGATAATAGAATTGTGAGAAGACATAAAGTTTATCATAATAGGTTTGATTTTCATTATTTATTATAACTTTATCACATGTGATTGTAGGTCTGGTTTGTCCCTTATTCTGTTATCTGTTCAAGTTAAAAGATATATTTAGTTGCTAAAAGTGCAGGATTTTTAAACGCCAGGAGCAGATAAAAACGAAGTACCACAGAAAATTTTACACCATTATCCTGTGTTGTGGTAACAGCCATCGTTGAGGTTTGCTGTGAGCTCAGGGGACCCTTGGCTTCCCAAGACCCCAGACTGTGAAGAGTGATCAGAAGGTGAGGGAGGCCTTAGATAAAATGTGAATTGCCTTCTTTAAAAATACACGTTTGTATGATTGAAGACTGTCTTAGAAGGGAAAAAAGTAATTTTTTTTTTACTTAACATTTTAGTTTGCCAAAATATGAAGTACAAAACCATCATCGTTTTACACATATCTGTTAAATGGATGCATTTACAATTGAAGTGGGAAGAGCTATTCAGCCCTTTTCTATTAAAATCACAAGGGTTCTTTTCTTTCATTGTTAACATTTCTGGGTTCTCAGGAGATAGGCAGAAAAGTGTGTAGAAACCTTGCTCTTTCTATTTTCACGTGTAGACCTGTCCTCCTTCTGCTTTTTACTGTCCCCCCAGGTTAACGGAGGCATTGAGAACACGTTAGAGAAGGAGGTGGTGCAGTATGACTACTACTCTTCTTATTTTGATATATTTGTAAGTATTTTTTATTTTATGGTTCATTTCAGAGATGATAAAACTGAAGCCAAAAGGCAGATTTCCTCTAAATCAAGATCAGATTCTCTGTGTCTTTCTCCCTCCCTTGCACACTGACTGCATTTCCTTTTCCCTTTCCCACCCATTCAGTGCTCTTGCTCGCTATCTCTCTCAATTAGGAACTGCCGGAGCATCTCAAGGAAACAAAACATAGATGGGAGATAGGGGAGCACAGCAGGAGCCACTCCATTTTCTTGGCTGGAGACTTGATACTTTTACATGGCTCAAGCAGAGCCCACTGACACACCCTGTCACTGATGGAAAACTCGCCTGCTCACAGAGAAGCCCAGTGAAAATGTCCTTCCTTTCCTGCCTTGTTGTTTTGATAATGGGACATTAATTTGAGACCTTCTTTGGTATCACATTAAGTTCTAGAGCAGGGATTCCCAAATGCAGGTCTACAGATCAGTGCCAGGGTGTGGCAGTCTCCGGCTAAGTCAGAAGAATGAAGACAGTTGGTGAGTTCTTCATAAAGCCAACTTCCTTTATTTTTGCATACATTTTAAATAACTTCTCTTTTTTCTTTTCACAGCTATTGGCAGTTTTTCGATTTAAAGTGTTGATACTTGCATATGCTGTATGCAGACTGCGCCACTGGTGGGCAATAGCGGTGAGTGTGCCTGCAGGAGTGGGTCACCTCCTATGGAACGGGCAGCCAGTCCTGCTCATGACAGGCATGACGGGGAGAAGATGAGGTTTAAATCTGGGTGGAATTCACTAGCTTCCTCCACACCCCAGGGCTTCTTGCTAGTGTTAATGGGTACCTAGCTTTGTCTCTGTGGATGCTGAGCAAAATTGGGAATCTAGAGGGTGAACAGTGATTACTGGCCAAGCACCAGCCCACCCTCTCCCTCATTTTACAGACGAGATGAGAGTAGTCCCTGTGTCACAGAGATATTGGAAACTGTCTTGTTTGGTTGAAACTACTTAGTGGTTTTTCATGACTTCGTCTCCACTTATTTTGGCACTTGCCTCCCCTGATTGATTCCCTTCCTTCCAGTCTTGGAGGGAGAAGCTCCCAGGCTCCATCCTGTGTTGCCTTCCAGTTCCTCGAGGACAGTGACATCTATTTCCTTGCATCTAGCACAGAGCCTTGGCACATGCCATTCACCCTCAATAAATATTGATTGATTGAAAGAAGAACTCTAAACAGTTCTACCCGAGCTACTTCTGTCATGTCCACAGCTGTCTGAACAGTCACCCTTTACAGAGCTCTAATGAGGCAGGCATATGGGGGACACTGAGATTCTTAGGCTAGAAAGAACTGCTCGGTAATAACCTGGAGACTGTGATTAGAGGGTGAGACCTCAGTCTGTGTGGCCCATGTCAAGCTTGGCCAGCTGGAGTGGGAGTCATGCTGCACCCCTGAGACAGTGGCCACAACGGGCCATGTCTGCTGGGTCTTCTCTCCTGAGCATTTGCAGAAGCACAGGTCAAAGTTCAGACCATCTGTTAATCCAGAAACTTACATTTCTCAGATGTAGGCTGACTTCTTGGCCAGACTCAATTCCCTTTTTCAAATACTCTTTTACCAAAACCACAATAACTGTGATTATTGTAATTTCTCAGTTGTCTAAACACTTTTTTGGGGGGTGGGGACATTCTAGTCTGCAGTCTCCACAATGTATGCTAATATTCATCAGACCGTCGTTTTGTTTTTGTTTGACCATTGTTTGTATCAGAAAAGTGGTTGACATATAGATATTCAGTGAGTTTTAACACGTAATTTCCATAAGTGTTTTTAAATTTCCAGAAGGATAGGTCTGCTTTAGCAGATACATTTTATTGTTTCTGTTTCTTGATTTTGAGAGCATATGCAGAGATAGTCCAAATCATCTCTGGAAGGAGAAGTCAGCTAGTTGCTACAGAGCATTTACTGTCAGCCTGTAAAGTTAATTGGTGTCAGAATGTGAAACGTCTCCTCTAGCAAGCAGCTCATGCTGGCTCGTGTGTGTGGGAGTGGGGGTCTGCAACCTTGTTAACACCTGCTGAACAAGATACCTCGTGTGCCCTGGCGTCCATGCTCCCAGTCAAGGCTACTGTTTGCATTCACTTTGGTCAGTTTTACCATGCTGAAGATATTAGTTGGAGGAGGGAGTGGCGAGGCTCGGGTATTGTGAGATTACTATCTTTGGCTTCACAACCCCTAGGGAGAGTCCTATACCCTACGTGTACCACGGTCCCTTCTTCCACGTGGTTTTACAGCCTTTGTCTTTTTTTTTTTTTTTTTGTCTTTTTTCGTGACCGGCAACGGATCGCAACCCTCAGTGTCGCGCCCGTACCGGACCGGGACCGGCAACGGGATTGCAACCCTCGGTGTTGCTCCCACACCTCGCTCAGCCAGTGAGCGGCCGGTCTGTATGTGGGATCTGAACCCTCAGCGGGAGCGCCACCGCGCTTCCTAAGCAGCGCACTGTAGCAGTGCGCCACCGGGCCGGCCCCTGGTTTTACAGCCTTTGGATCCCCCTTCCAGTGGGTAGAACACACTTTCCCAGCACACCAGTCTGCTAAAACATGGGAAGAAGAAAACCACAGGCAGCCAGTCAGGGGCTGCAGGCCATGTAGAAGATGCCCATTTTGCCCCAGTCTTGGGTAGGAAGGTAGAAACGGGTGAGGTGGGAAGGAGCCAGGAAGGAGCCGGGCGGGCATGGGTTTCTCAGGCATCGCCTGCTGCTGTGTGAGGGTCAGGCCTTCACAGTGTGAGATGTCTCATTTGGATGATGCTGGCTTATGTGTCTTGCAGTTGACGACAGCAGTGACCAGTGCCTTTCTATTAGCCAAAGTGATCCTGTCAAAGGTACGGCCTGCTGCGCTTGGTCTGATTGCGGTTGGTAATGACGCTGCTTTCCAGCCTGAGCACGCACTGACTGTGTCTCCCTCTCCCACTCACTTCTGTTCTTGCAGCTGTTCTCGCAAGGGGCGTTTGGCTATGTGTTGCCCATCATTTCTTTCATCCTCGCCTGGATTGAGACGTGGTTCCTGGATTTCAAAGTTTTGCCTCAAGAAGCAGAAGAAGAAAACAGTAAGTTCCTCTCAAAGTTGTCCTCTGAGACTGGTGGGTGCCTGGCTGGCAGGGAGAGGTGTGGTGTGACTGGAGCTGCAGGTGCGCAGCGTCAGGCAGTCACGGTGTCTCCGTTCTTCAGTGGCTACAGCAGAAATCGAGAGGAAGGGTGGGTGGGTGGAAGGAAAAAAACAGAAGTGTCCCCTCTGTTCAGCTGCTGGGCCAGGACTCCCTGCAATAAAGTGCAGACGCTGGTGAGGAATACATTCAAGCATGATCCAGAATGGTGAACACCTCTCTGTCTCCAGACAGGGTGATGTTCTCTCGCCACTGGCAGCAGTCACAGGACACTAAAGAGTTTATGCATATAAACAGCACTGTGCTGTGCAGAGGCAGAGAAAATTAAACCAATTTTAAGTGGGCTGAAGCAGCACCTCTAAATACAAGTCAGCAATTCTTCAGAGTCTCACACTGCTGTCCACACAGCAGGTGGTGGCACTGGATGTGCTGTAAGTAGAAGAGTTAAGTGCCCAGAGCTGGGACTGTTGGTAGGTTTCTGATGAACACAGAGATCAGAGGTGGAAGACAGCAAGCCAGAGCAAAGCTCAGCCATCTCAGCCGTGGCCCTCATCCTCTGAGAAGCTGAGTGACAGCTACTGTGCCGTACTCAAGGGTCCTGCCAAAGCTGGTCTTGTCTCACTGAGTGGCTTTGAGTAGCTCAGGATAGTAACTAGGAAGGCTAAATGATTGATTGAGCTTTATGGTTAATTACTGGGCTGGAATTCTCCACATAATGTCCTTCATGGAAGCCCACATGCCCAACGACCTATCCTGGAGGTGAAATAACCAAAATTCACTTTGAAGACCCATGCAGTATTAAGACATGTCATTTTTATGCCTCTGTCAGCCTCTGACTCAAATGGCCTTGCCTCATAGGAAAAAAATCTTGTATCTTACGAAAGTCAAGCATGATTATAACCTCATAAAACATCAGGATGAAAAATCTCCTTCCTAGTGGCTTTATTTTGGAAAATCTCATTTACAGAGAAGAAATCTTTAAGAGAAGACGTAGAATTCAAGAGTAGACTTTAAAACCATGTTAGTCAGACTAGGATGTGTTTTCTGTCCTGCGCCCTGTGTTCCCTTATGATCACGTGTTGTGGACAGGAGATAGGTAAAGTTCATGGAGGTATCTTTTTAACACTGTATATAAATGTGTAAACTTTATTGAAAACATAACAACTGTTAATATGACCGAGGCTTGAATGGCGATGTGATTAAATCAAATTCAAAGTAATAAACAAAGCAGAAGACATGATAGTGAAAACCGTGTTAAGACAGCACTCATCTTCACTGTCACAGGCATCTGGTACACATGTACCTGGCCCTGCTCCCTGGCCTGGTGCTTCCTCCCACGTTATTATCTAACGTTAACTCAGCCACTAGCCAAAGGAACACAGGTGTCTCTGGCCCTTCTCTTCGCCTGTCGGTGCTCCTGATCTTCACATCACGCTTCCTTCTCTTCCCTTCTCTTTGTTCTTTAATACACTTCTTTTCATTGAAGTCCTTTTTATCACATAAATATTTCTTCAACATCTTAATTACTCTTTATCTATGTATAAAAGACCCCTTATGGATTATGCATAATCTGGCATTTCTCTAACCAGATGCAGTCCACAGAACTGAGTGGGTTTTTTATTTCACTTCGTGTTTTGGTTTTGATGTTGTTCACTTTCGTAGGGAGGTAGGTATTCCCAAGGGAAAGATGCTGTAAATACTGAATTAAGGAATCCCATGAGTAACATGAGGCAGTGTTTAAAACTACTTGGTTATTTTTCCTTACAGTATTGGTTGATAATTTATTAACGAAGCCTTTACTTTTTTTTCAGAATATTTTTGAGTACCACTTTTATCTAGGAAGTTTTTAGTATAATGATAATACCATTTAATGGTACTTCATCTTGCCAAGAAGCTGCCAGAATGGTGAAATCATTTCTGGAATCTGAATGTCTTCTCTTCCAGGACTCCTGATAGTACAGGATGCTTCAGAGAGGGCGGCACTTATGAGCTGGATGATAACGTGAAGAATATAACACCTCAGGCAGCTTCCAGCTTCCCTCACGGACCAGCTGGCTTCTTATCTGTGACTTTTACCACCACCTAGTGGTGCTCTGGAGCATTACCATGTCCTTGGGTTATGAGCTAAACAAGAACCTGGGGCNCAAAACAGAAGGGGGTTAGACTTCCTGTTCCTTCAGCAAGCGGGGCTCTGCGCTGCATTACGAGGAGAATTTTGTTTCCACATTAATCACTCAGGAGTAGTTAAAGACTCCATGGCTAAAATCAGAGAAGGCTTGGCTAAAAAAAAAAGAAAGAGATCAAAATCAGGGATGGTTTGAATCATGGTTCAACTGCTCCCCATGGCTCACGACCCTCGTGTCTACTTTATTAGGACTATGAATGATATTAATGTTACTTCTGACCTTCGGTCCCTGCATTTTAAATCACTTAGTAGCTTTTGATAGGGAACGTGTTAGTACTGTCCAGATTATGATGTTAAGACAACAATATCAGGAAGTAGACCAAAAAAACACAAGTATTTCATGATTGAAATACACACAAGAAAAAAGGGGGTAAAATTGTAGGGGATTGTAAAAATTATATAAACTTTAATATATTGTAGAAAAATATAAATTTTAGTATACACAGTTTTGTAACAAATGCTTGCTAATAACATTCTAAGTAAAGCAGCTTCTAAGGGGCTAATAAGCAGCAGGCAGGCCCAAGTACACTAAACATTCCAAGAAGGGAACGGCCCCCACCCGGTTCCAGGCACGGGCTAGTTCCTTATCTAAGAGCCTCCTGGCCAGGCCCCAAGGAAGATATACAATTGAGAGAAGCGCTGTTCCTCATCGGGGGTACCAGCCTAATAAAGTCCACCTGGAAATCTAAAAGTGCCACAGATCTATCAGGGTGCCAGCCTGCTAAAGTCTGCCCATAAATCCAAGGGCGCCACAGATAACCAATAACTCATCCTGTCATAAAGATCTGTTCAGGAAAAACTGTATAAAAAGTGCTGTATTGTAAACTGGCCGCCACTTTTGTCCGGAAAACAAAGCAACCCCAGCATGCTGGATTATTAAAAACTCTGTTTATTGCAATGGTCTCTATCTCGGGGTCTTTGTGAGGTGAGCTATCCCAACGTGTGGGATTTGTGCATGGTGCATGGGTCTTACAGTTTCTCCCACGTTATTACCTAACGTTAAATCAGCCACTAGCCAAAGGAATGCAGGTGTTGCTGGCCCTTCTCTTCACCTGTCGGTGCTCCTGATCTTCACATCACACTTGCTTCTCTTCCCTTCTCTTTGTTCTTTAATACACTTCTTCTCATTGACGTCCTTTTTATCACATAAATAATTCTTCAACATCTTAATTATTCTTTCTATATGTATACAAGACCACTTATGGATTATGCTTTAATCTGGCATTTCTCTAACCGGATGCAGTCCACAGAACTGAGTGGGTTTTTTATTTCACTTCGTGTTTTGGTTTTGATGTTGTTCACTTTCGTAGGGAGGTAGGTATTCCCAAGGGAAAGATGCTGTAAATACTGAATTAAGGAATCCCATGAGTAACACGAGGCAGTGTTTAAAACTACTTGGTTAATTTTCCTTACAGTATTGGTTCATAATTTATTAATGAAACCTTTATTTTTTTTTTCAAAATATTCTTGAGTACCACTTTTATGTAGGAAGTTTTTAGTATAATGATAATACCATTTTAGGGTACTTCATCTTGCCAAGAAGCTGCCAGAATGGTGAAATTATTTCTGGTTTCTGAATGTCTTCTCTTCCAGGACTCCTGATAGTACAGGATGCTTCAGAGAGGGCGGCATTTATACCTGGTGGCCTTTCTGATGGCCAGTTTTATTCCCCTCCTGAATCTGAAGCAGTTAAAACATTTGAATGTCATTTGTGTTTTTGTTCATTGTGCAAAAACTCTGCCTCTGTCCCTCTCCCTACCTCCTCTGTTTCTCACTACACTTAGCAAGCGTTTAACAAACCAGGCATTAAGAATGTGAAAATAAGTAAGACACAGCCTTATCTGAGAGCAGTGGTGAGACACAGAGATGGAAGCATATGTATAGTAGAGGGGCACAGACACTGTGATTTGTGATCCACATCTCAGAAGACGGACAGACAAGGTGGTGGGTCCTGATTCCTTCTGTGTCACCTGTCGTCCCTAAACCAGCCTTAGTGAAGGATTTCCTGTGTCTGAAAATGGCAGCACCACCTCCCACTTGACCACGTCAGAAGCCAGAGCCTCACTGCAGACTGTGTCCCTTTCCTACAGCTCACATTGTATCATTCTCAAAGCTGCTGAGATTCTCCCTCCTTTATGTCTGCCTCCACGCTCTCATTTGAATCTCTCACTTCCTGTAAGTTCTAACCTCAGTTCAGCATTTCTTGCTTCAGTTTCTGCAACAGTCTCTGTCTCCCTACCTCTAGTTTTGCCTTCCACTAACCAGTCACCAGAGTGCTCTGTTAGAAATGGCAGTTGCACACAGCAATAAAAAAACAGAGAACCCGATTAATAGTGGGCAAACGTAGACTTTATCCAAAAAGATATACAAATGGCCAATAAGCCCACGAAAAGATGCTTAACATCAGTGATCATTAGGAAAATGTAAATGAAAACCACGATGAGTTCCCACTTCTCACCCATGCGATGACTGTTATATGGAAAGAACAAACCAAGAGATAACAAGTGTTGGTGAGGATGTGGAGGAATTGGACCGCTTGTGCATTGCCGGTGGGAATGTAAAATGGTACAGCCTCTGGAGAAAACAGTGTGGCCTTTTGTCAAAAAATTAAACATAGAATTTGCATATGACACAACAATTCCAACTCTGGGTGTATATCCATCCAAAAGAAATGACAGCAGGGACTGGAACTGATTGTTTTTACACTTGTGCTCATGGCAGTGTCATTCACAATACCAAAAAGGTGCAAACGAACCAGATGGCCATCATCAGACGAGTGCATGAACAAAATGTGATTTACGAAGATGCTTCAGAAAGTTTGTGGAAGGATTCTTGTATCTTTTAATTCTAGTTTTTCCATAACCTTTTGAACTACCCTCGCATATATATCACATGGGATATCATTCAGCCTTCAGAAGCTGTACGGACACATGCTACAACATGTATGAACCTTGAACACATTATGTGAAGTAAAATATGGC